CATTTAAAGAAAAAAAAAACTTGGCGATTTACTGTAGCTACATTGTAGTGGAACAGAAAATAGTGAATATACGGTCGATATTAGCTACTTTAACAATTTCTCCACAGTAATTGAACCTGCAGCTGCAGGGTTGTTGTTTGTTCTTTAGTGAGAGATTGCATGATGGTTGATTAGTTTATGTTTTCACTGGGATTCAAAATGTATAGGAACCAGTCCTAAGGGTGCACTGTTCCGGTTAGATGTCACTAACAAAAAGACAGAGGTGGCGCTAGAGGTGGAGCTGGACTTGGCGGTGTTGAAAATGCTAAGATTTTTACTGGGAGTGGCTAAGAGGGAAATGATTAGAAAGTAGTATATCAGAGGGACAATCCAGCTTGAGCTGTTTGTGGACAAGATGGACCTGACACGTGCAGGGAAGGGACACTGGACAAAGCCTGTTGAATATGGAGCTGCCATGCAGACAGAAAAGAGGAAAACCTCAGAAGAGTCATGGGTGTAGTGAAGGAGGACATACAGTGTTAGTGTGACAGAAGAAGTTGCTCGCTTGTGTGCGAGATGGATCTGATAATCTGTCAGTGAGCTGATTTGGCAACTTCTAAATAAAACAACTAAAAAAAAAAAGAGGACGATCTCATTTATCTGTACTTGTCTCATTTCAGCACAGTTTGAAAATTTCTAGGTTTGTGAACACTGTGACGGCACCTTATGGGACTAGCGATGTATACTATACCAGCGGTCTCCAACCTTTTTTGCGCCACGGACCGGTTTATGCCCGACAATATTTTCACGGACCGGCCTTTAAGGTGTCGCGGATAAATATAACAAAATAAAACTAGTACCGGTACCAAAAAAAGAAGATTTATTCATAACACACGTGAAAAGACCCAGGAAACAGAGTTAACGATAAAAACAATAACAAAATAACACTGAAAACCGATAAAAACCCTGAAAACCATACATTTCACGCCTGAGCCTCAACTCTCGCGGCCCGGTACCAAACGACTCACGGACCGGTACCGGTCCGAGGCCCGGGGGTTGGGGACCGCTGTACTATACTGTATACTGTAAACTGGGGAGGCAGGATTAAAAATAGTTGGAATAACCAGTCTTTGGGACTCTATCGCTTGTGTTAGTGCTGCTTTTTTTAGCTTAGCCTATGCCCCAGAAGACACAATATATATATATATAAAAAACTTCTTTATTGTGAAGTGACACTGGGTAAAATGAAACAATATATGAAACAATATGAAAACTCTCCACTGCACCCACTGTATGTGCTTCTTTTGCTACTTTTTAAATGTTTGATTGTTTATTTCGCGCTTGTTCCTCTTTGTGGTGAACACCACAGTTGTCCCATTCCTGTTCAAGCCCACTGACACGTCTACATAGTCAAATATAACGGTGACAAATATAATACCTTGAGGCAGACAATGTTAGTTTACTGTGCAGAAATAATGCTCAACGACTGCTACATCAAACACAGCAAACGTTTCAGCTGTTCATTACATTACACAAACAGATAAACACCACTGCCAATCTTATTTGCCAATAGATCGAACACTGTCAACAAGGTAAGTACTAACAGATAACAGCTTTAAACATGTTGACTTCTTTTCAACTAAAAAAATGTTTTTGTTTGTTTTTTTTAAAGTCGATCTTGCCAGGCCTTAATCTATTGTATCTATTAAGAAAAATATACACCATCATAAATCAACAAAATCAGGTTTTAGGAAACCAAATCAGAGGAATTAAGATCTTCAGTTCATCAATCTGCTGTTTAACAGCAACATATGTTATGCTGTCAGTATTTGTTGTAACTGACAGTTGCTTTAAAATAGTGCTGTATTTGATCTCTTGAAATTAAACTGTGTACCTCTAAATCTCAGTTTAATTCTGGGACGTTGTTACACATTACAGATGCTGACTCGACTCCATTGTTCCACAATGAATTTTACACTGAAACAGCTGAAATGCAATGTCATGCAAAATGGGTGAGTCAGGACTTGGATATTTTGCAGCTGGGTGGGATAATTAGAAACAACTTCAGAGACAGCAGACGACCAAATAAAAGAGACTTCAGTTGCCAGTTGCCTTGACAAACTGCAAAGTCTTATATGTATCGCCTGATATAATATTTAAGGGTAAAAGAGATGTATTGTGACAGAGCCAGCAAACTCTTTTCAGACATTATTGCCTGAACATGTGTTAAGGAGGAGGGAAAAGGGAGAGGCTTCCTTCCTTCACTCCAAGTCACCGGGGAGGGAAGAAGCAAGCGTCACAAACAGAGGAAGAGGGATGGAGGGGGAGAAAGAGGCAAAAAGAAACAAAGGGAAGAAGAAAAGATGAAAGAGGGGAAACACAGGGGGAAAAGGGACACTGAGGTGGGGCATGAGAAAATGTGGGATTAAAGAAAGAAGGAACAGGGAAAGGAAGAGAAGAAGACAAGGCTACAAGAGGTGCTGGACAAGAGTGGAGGGAGGGGCGGCGCTGGGCTCTGCAGTTTTAACACTTGGGTCATTTCTCCCAAATCTTTCTCCAGCAAAGGCTGGACAAGCATTATAGAGCTCAACTCATGATACTTGCACGACTTCAAAGCTCTGGCTAAGTCTGGAGTAACAGAGCAAAAAGCAGTCAAACAGGAAACCGACCATGTTTTAACTTCGGTAGAGAAGCTCAGAGATCTCAGTTTTATGTTAATGATCTTTCAATAAGACCCTGAGAGAAAGAATTCCACTTCTGCTCTTAGTGCTGTAGATTCAGCATTTAAAGCCCACCGCATCATTATGAAGTCGTAATGTAACCATGCAGGACGTATAGATCATTATTATAGCCACCAGGTTCCTTTGCATGTTGACTAAAGTGCATTACAGTTGAGTCTGAGTTTTAGTTTAAATGCTGACAGAGCCATAAAACAGATTTAGTTTTGTTTTCATCCAGAGTCATGTGTCTCATCCTCTACCTCACTGCCTTTAAGCCTTCCCATAAAAAGTGTGATTGAACGTGAAGTGCCTACCTTTATGGCTCAACGAACCGACCAAGGACTACAGATGGGGAAAAAAAGGCTTTGATTGTAAAAACAAAGCATTCGGGTTCAGTATTTGCCAGTGTTGCATATGAAAAAAGCTGATTAAAATGACTCTGGGAATTAGATACACAAAGAACTCCAACAGATTAACCAATGAACAATCAGTGCTGCAGTTTAGTATGCAGATGAAAGAACACAAACTACTCTTTTTGTTCAATCTGTAGCTCATAATAAGCTTCAATGTCATTATAAAGCTGATAAACACTTGATGGTTAGACTGTTTCATTTAAGAGTATTTTTTCCTTTTCTTTCTATTAGCTTCAGCTTCATAATCTTCAAAATCTGCATGATTCCTAGTTTGAAATGATAACACTTTGGTGTTGCCCCTCAGACTGCTTTGAGCTGACAGGAAGGCAAGAATAACCCAAATGACCACTTGTTTTAACTTCAAGTATCTAAAAGAGCATCTCTAAAAGTACAACATATGCAACCTTGCAGCAGATGGGCTACAGCAGCACAAAACCACACGGGGTGCCACTCTTACCAGCTAAGAACAGAAAAATTAGGCTCCAGTTTGCACAAGCTCACCAAGAGAAGATCGGACACACATTAACTGGTCTGAAGACGTTTTGATTCTGATTGCAGGGTTAGAACTTAAAAACTTTGAAAGCGTGGATACAGCCTGTCTTGTATTAATAGTTCAGGCTAGTGACAGAGGTCTAATAGTGTGTGGTATAATGTCAGTCCATACTTTGGGTCTCTGAGCGCCATTTAAATGGTAAATGGTAAATGGCCTGTATTTATATAGCGCTATCTAGATGCCACAGCCTACCTGAATATAGTTGCTGACCATGTACATCCCTTTATAACCAAAGTGTAAGCATGCCCCGCTGCAAAGTTCAGATCATCTCAAGATGATTTCTTGAACATGACAATGACACTGTCAAATGGCCTCCACAGTCACCATATCTCAACCCAACTGAGGTCTTGGGACACAGTGAAGCAGGAGATCCACATCACTGGCAAATCTTCATGATGACTGCATGATGCTGTCATGTCATTATGCACCAAAGATATGTTTCCAGCACCTCGCTGAATTTATGCTACGAAGACTTAAGGTAGCTATAAATGCAAAAGGCGGTCAAATCCAGTACTAGCATGGTGCACCTAAAAAACTAGAAAGAAATCTGAAGAAGTCTTCATTAAGGAGATAATTAACTCACTAAGGAGTTACATTAATCCATAATTTAAATAATAACAGGTTTAAACGTAGCTCAGAACTCCAGCACTTCTCATTTATCCAAAATTAATATCTTCTGTAATATTGCATTTCCTGCTGCTCTTCATAAAAATGACCAGGCCTACTTGTTGACTCACTGAGTGCTGCTCAACAGCTTCGTGACTGTATTTACTGTGCTCAGATAGACAGCTCGATCTGGGGTCTACTGTAGGGGCAAATGGTTACAAGTTTAATCTGCGCTCCTTCCGATCATCTCGACCAATGTCAAGTTGGCTGCTAAATACATAAAGTCTTCATTACCTAGTTACAACAAGCCAGCCTTTTAAACAGCTCTTGGGTTATACAACACTGCATCCTGTTTTAAGACAGGCTGTTTCACTAGTTTTTCTTTCTGCTATACAACAGTTGGTTGGCAGAGCCAGCGATAAATTTAGAAACCCCCTACACACACACACACACACACACACACACGGCGTAAAATGATGCAAGAATAAAATGAACACATCTATTTAGCAAACTTCCACTGACGTTAACGGTATTTAGCGCTGCGCTTTGTTTGAACTGTGTCGAAGTTATGCGACAGAAATGTGAAAGAACGAAAACAAAAAACGAGAAGACTTCCTGAATAAAGATAGCGGATTGTGTGTGAGAGAGACAAGAGGAAGGGAGACTGCACACTGCACGTATACACACACACACACACACACACACACACACACACACACACACACTCACCGCTTGCAGTCTGAGACACGGCAGACACGGCGGTCTGACCCATATTCGGCTTGAGCACCGGGCCGGACCGGGCCCCCTAACCCGCTATCACGGCTCTCTATCTCCGCATAAACCCCGTCCTCCACCGCCAAGCGAGTTCATTTCAAAAAAAGAAGTTTTTACGCCGTGATGGCTCAGTCACTGGAAACTTGGTTCACTCTCTCACTCACTCTCTACTACGTCGTAACTTCCCCTCCCCTCCTCCACCACCTCCTCCTCCTTCCCGCCTCCTCCTCCTCCTGTGAGCGGCTGAAAATGCCTCTCATTCCTCTATGCAGATTAGGGACGCTGCTGGGGTCAAAGGGCGAAGGGGTCCGACACTCTCAGCCGCTGGTTTACATCGGCCCAGATCACGAAATGATGGCACTAACCTAGAACTGCGCTCCAGTGAAACTTGAGGTGAATGTGACTCAATTACATAACTATTTTCACAAACCAATATTGTAGCCTTAGTGCATTACACAGCTTTTGTTAAAATTCATATTGTAACTATTGTATCTAACTTTTGTGTATTGTCTTCTCTTTTTTTTAAAAAAACACATTATGCAGTCATTTGCAGTATTATCACACATGTATCCTTGTCACACTTATGTTTCATATCATCAAACAAATTTTAATATTAGAGAAAAAAAATAACGCCAGTAAATACAAAATTACGTTTTTTAATTGCAATTTTATAGAGTATTATAATTATCATTGGGCAGCAGGGTGTCATGGTGGTTAGCACTGTTGCATAACAAGTTCCTGGATGCAATTTCACAATTTCTGTATGTTCAGCCCTTGGTCTGTTTTTCAGACATTTGTGGAAGAAGACATAGTTTTAAAGAGCTCCCTGACTTTGAGTTATCATTCTACTGTCACAACAAGTCCGTTTGTGAGATTTCTTCCATCCTAGCTATTCCGCAATCACTTGTAAGTGTTACTTTATCAAAGTGAAAGTCTTTCGGAACCATAGCAATTCAGCCACAGATTGGCATACCACGTAAAGTTACAGAGTGGGATTACCGAGAGCTATGCGTAAAAGTTGCAAACACTGCTTCCTCAATAACTGTAGTGTTACAAACCTCCCTTGGCATTAACATGAGCACAATAACTGTGCAAGAAGGTCCTGAGTTCAATTCCAACATCAGGCCGGGGTCTTTCTGTGTGGAGTTTGCATGTTCTCCCCGTGTTTGCGTGGGTTCTCTCCGGGTACTCCGGCTTCCTCCCACCGTCCAAAGACATGCAGCTTGTGAGGATAGGTTAATTGGATAATCCAAATTGTCACTAGGTATGAATGTGAGTGCGAATGGTTGTCTGTCCCTGTGTGTTAGCCCTGCGACAGACTGGCGACCTGTCCAGGGTGTACCCTGCCTCTCGCCCTATGACAGCTGGGATAGGCTCCAGCGCCCCCCGCGACCCTGAAAAGGACAAGCGGAAGCGAATGGATGGATGGATGGACAATAACTGTGCACCAGGAGCTTCATGGCATAGGTTTCCGTGGACAAACAATCACGGAAACCCATTACACTTTCTTAGTCCAATAAGCTGAGCTGAATAGGTGTAAGGTGTAATGTGTAGGAGGCCCAGTACGTTTGTGTATGTTGTGTATTTGAATATAAATATTTTAACTTGTTTCTCCATCTGTGAATTCTTCACAGAGCAGGCTGGAAAACGTCTCCAGCTAATGCTAAGCTAATGACAGCAACAGAAAGCAATTAGAGTCAGGGGTGGGAAAAGCTGGTATCATGCAAATTATGTCTGGGCGTGCACAATAAGTTGTGTGTTGCAGCAGGACATTTACCTTAAATATTAAATCCAATTTATTTCAACCTAGAGTACTTCCCATAAATGGGTGATGTGGTGGCATGACCTCATTAGAGCCTTTCACATCCTGAAATTTGACTCCGCTGAAGGAGTCCTGTAAGTACAAAATGGTCCAAAATTCCCCCTGTGATCATCAGCCATCTCTGACCTGCAGGTTCCTCTAAAGCCTGAGGTTTGAGGTTACAAAGGAGGCTGAAGCAGGTATTAAATCCAAGGGTTAAATTATCTTTTGACCTCAAATGAGTGTGCTCTATAAATATGTATAAATTGTGTGTGTTAGTAACTCAAGGATCACATTTCATGAACCAATGAATCTAGAAAACCAGGTAATTCCAAAGAGTTATGACAGATTTTCTTTCTACTGGATGTGCCTGTGAATTTTAAGCAAGTACAGTGTTTCTGGAACTTGTGATGGGTCTTTTACAATATTACCCAATATTAAAAATATATAACAAGAAACAAAAAGATGATAATAATGGCATTAATAAGTTGCTGCATTGCTAATATGATATGTAGTGTACTTACTGCACAATACGTCATACAGTGTCATTTAAAACCTGTGTGGCAGTGCATATCAGTTGTTTTTAGACCAAATTTAAGGTCCTCCTTAGCAACAAATCCACTCAGTGAATTTATAGTCACACTAAATATTATTTTATTGACATTCCAGCAGCCCAATAGTACCATCTAGCCCAATAATTAAACATCTGAGAGCCTATCTCAGAAACCAGGCTTGGGAAATGACAATATATTTAGCTTACAGCCTATAATTAATACATAAATGAGTTTACAGTCCAGCTCCAGAGGAAAAGCAGTAGGCTTTACCCTGCAGGCAATTTATTATTAAAAAGGAAGATGACAGTAGTGAATCTTGAACCAACCCAGCAGTGAGTCATTCAAAAGAGCGCAAAGTCAGTCTAGTGTTGTCATTAGGTGCTCTACTTGCAGCACGCACAAGTAATATCTGTTTAATATTAGACACAAGAGCACACATCACTGCTCAGTGACAACTGTGGCAAACTGTGGCAAACTGAGTCAAACGCTGCCACTGACTCTCAACACGAGAGTCAACTAACGTGTGTGTGTGTGTGTGTGTGTGTGTGTGCATGCATGTGTGACTGTGTGTGTCTGTCTTTGTGTGTGTGTGTGTTTGTGTTTATAGAAGAGAAAGCGCAAGAGAAAGAGAGCTTTGGCTATCATTACTGTCAACACAGTGTCAGTTGAGACCTTGCAGAACAGGGCTTGACAGAAATAAGCCATTAGTACACACGCTCCCTCCCACTCTCTACACACACAAACACACACAGACACACACAGCAGCAAGCATGAGCAAATTAAACTTGCCTGATCTGCACACGAAACGACTTACCATTTGGGCCAAGACTGCCATCTAGTGTTAAGCAAAGTAAGCATAAGCAAACTGACTTCAGGTTAACTGGGAGATGATTTGTCACAAAGTTGTTCTTGTTCCATTCATAATTCTGTTTCTATGTGGCAGTGCTGCCCTCGCTCCCTGATCCCATTTCCCCATAAGTCATTAAACATCAGGAAGCCACATGCAGTCCTGGCATTTAAGCAGCCACAGCACAGAGAACATTGTTCTTAAGGATTGTGGCAGAATGAGAAATAAAGCCAACATTGACCTTTAAACAAAACTAATTTTGGAAGTTTTGTTACAAAAATGAAGCAGTGTATGGATTTTGTGTGTGTGTGCAGACTCACTCACCACTTCTTGTCTGCTCTGATTTGATAAAACCCAATTACCTGCCCCTTGATTGTGGCTTATTTCAACCTAACTCTAACTCAATTCTTAAGGTGACACGGATGCCATCAAGTCCAAAGAATATGTGACATTTTCTTGATCCACCATATTAACAAATGACCCCTTTCAATTGCTTTTGTGCTGGTAACATGCAGTGTTACCATTCAATATACATTTAGCTTTGGAGCTGCCAAGTCAACCACACAGTTATGGGGCTGTCATTAGCGAATCAGATGGAAATGGATAATTGAACAGGAAGGAAGCCGGTAAAGAGGTGGGAGGATAAAAACTGAGAATGAGAATGGAAGTACTTAGAGAGGTTAACAGCAGAATATGACTATGTTAGCACTTACTGGGAGGTAATGTCATTTACACAATGTATCCACAACACATACTGAATTTGGAGCACATTTACACGTGTTAAAGGACAGAGATAATACCACTGAGAACACACACACTGATTTCCAGACAAGACAGCACAACATTCAGTCTCAGAGGGTATTTTCACTGGTTCCTTTGGTTACCATAATCCAAAGATTCTTATGTTTTTGCCTACACCACATTTTTAAATTAATTATTAACAGTGAAAAAGATCCGTGTTGCATTTCAGTTAAATGTCAGCACAATAGCATGAGGTAACTTTTTTCCATAGATAAATGATATTCATTGAACTTAGTATTTCCCTTTGGTCATCCACCCACAGAGGCTCTATGCTCCACCAGTGGAGCCATCCACATAGATTCAGAATAACTGAAATAATGCACAGAGATGCACATATATGGACTCTGTCCAAAATGGATCAGAGTCAGACATGCATTAGCTAATTAGCTAAAAAAAGAAAGAATGAAAACTGAGCCAAAAAGATTTGAAGATAATGAATCCTTACCCGAAACAAGCTTGATTTCAGCTCATCCCAACAAAAAGACATGAGAGGTCTAAAAGGATAAAGATGATGTCATTTTAAACATTGACTACTGAGTTTATTGTATGTGCGTGGTTTTATGGTTACACACAAGGTTACATAGATTAATGTTAGCATGTATGGTGGGATATTATATTTTAATGTACGCCTTTATGCATTTTTATGTATAGTTATTTTTAATGCTATATTTTCAAATGGGTGTCTCTGTTCTCAGTGCAGGACAATTTTCATTTTTGAATTTCATGAGCTTTATCATTCACTGCCCATCTGCTTAAAACACACACACGCACATACGTGCGCTCACACACTACTTGGGTATCATTTATATTGATGCACAGAGCCTTGACCCTGCCTGAAACCATCAAGTACAATTAAGACACCATGATGACAAAGAGTAGAGCTTGTGTTGCCTCTAGAACCAGACAGACAAATATCAGCTGACAATAGCAGACATTATGTATGTTTCCAATAGAGATGCCCTCATCCTGATGTCACACCAGCTGGTTTATTGACTACCATGTGCACTTGAATTCTGGAGTCAGAAGTGACCGTATTTGGATAAGGTGGAGCTGGTGACCCTGGAAACCTGATTCGAAGTATATACCTTTCTTTGCAGTTTAATACACACTTACTGATGGGATTCATTTCAAAAGGATCACAAGTTCACTGAAGGAGTGAGTTCAGACAATGA